GCCGGGTCGGCTATCTTTGCTCAGCTCCACATCCAAGTACAAAGTGACTGTCGGAGAGGTTCAGAGACGACTATCACCGCCAGAATGTCTCAACGCATCCCTCTTGGGAGGTGTTCTTCGCAGGTATGGTCTCCTCAGTCATTGCTATCATACCAAACATATCAGTGATTATTATTTAGACAGTAATTGTAATTAATTTCATGAAACAAATGTTTGCAATCATAATATATTGGCACAAGTGATGAGACAAAGAGTTAAGAATTTTATGAACAGAAGTTAGAAACCATTTATTCATATTATAGGATAATTGCAAATATGTGATCAAATTGTTTCCAATCTTATGATGTAATTAACGATTTGCTGTATTATGTAAAACCCATCCGAAGACTGCACTTCTCTTTCTGCTATACGCCTGAAGGAGATCACGACCCAAACTACCATTTATTTTGGTTTTTAATTCGCTATCTTTTTCTTCTTCGATGTCTCCACTTAAGTGCAACTCTTTCCCCAAATTTTGTATTTAAATTCAAGATTACTATCGGTTACCAACGTATGAGTTATTAGGATTTACTGTCCACTCAATAGCGCTTCATACCTGAGATTAAAACACATTTATTAATAATTGTAATAAATTGCACAACAATTTTATAACAGTATAAAAAATTAATTTTACTTTTTTTTCTACATTTTATACTGTATTTGCATTCATTTAAATGTATAGTTATTTACTATAACCGGTTAACACAGTAATTGTATAATGAATTGCAATAATAATTATTGTAATGATTGATGACATTTAGGGCCAAATCCAAGAACGGCGGCCGATCTTTACGGGAGAAGTTGGAGAAGATTGGACTCAATCTGCCGGCCGGGCGTCGGAAAGCAGCCAACGTTACGCTCTTAACCTCTTTAGTTGAAGGCATGTATTGCTTATAAATGCACTCAAACTTCTTATCTTAAAGTCTAATATTTAATATATATTTTTGAATTATTATTCTTTGAAATTCAATTACATGGAGAGAGAGAGAGAACTTGTAGTGACTCAGCCTTCTATGAGTTACACAGAATGCAGAATTAATTGCATTTTTCTAGTTTTGGTCAATAACTGACCTTTACTTATACTGCATAAGTTATACACTATATCTTAAGTTTTGAAGTATAAGTGGTAATCAAACGAAACAGTGCTTCAAAATTCATTAGTAGATTCAAAACGAACAGCTCTTTAGTTGTATTCACTCGTCGAATGCCCTCCCATTAGAGGCCACCCATTCTCTCCACAAATTATTATTTATGAATAACAATATTCAAGTTTTTTGCCAAAATTAAAACTATTTTGTTGCTCTATATGGGAGTATTGGAGTTATTATGAAAATGTGATAGACTTTGTAAATTAAGAATAACATGAATGCTATGAAAGAATTTTTGAGTTAAATATTTCATTATTTATTATTAATATTTTCGTACGCAAAGGACAGACATCTATTTTAATTAGCTTTAAATAGTGTTTTGGAGTAAATTAACTTTTGATGTTCACCGCATTCATTGCTTATGGCTTCTGTATGCTAATTACACATACGTATAAATCTCTGCCAATACCTGTGCTCTAAATTATAGCCATTACTGACAGTGGCATCGGTAGCACTCTTTCCTACACATTCCTTCGCAACTAACTATCGTTTTATTTACTATACATTTATATTATACAATATTTTATTTTTATTATTACTTTAATCAAATACATTATATTAAAGCATGAGTTTTGTTCTCCTTATAGCCCACGGCTTTGTCATTGCATTTCATTGCAGACTATTATATAAGATATAAATTACATGCACTGCACATAACGTCGTGTCAATTATTTACACAACTATTAAGTCTACACTGCTATTAAAAATTCCTTTATTTCTAATACTCAGTCATATTGAGACACAAGTCTTAATACATGCACTCAATGTACGGTTAAATCGATTTATAAGACCACGACTGCCAAAATTTTTTTGTCACTTGACTAATATGCTTGCAAATGTAGAGCACAAGTCAGACATGTAGTTCCCTATCTCTCGCTATGTTATGATTTATTTGATGGACCAATCTCTGTCCACATCATGTAAACAGAGTCTTGAGTGTTGTCTGACTTCGGGTGACTGCCCTCTGGATGTTAACTAAAGGCAATGTATTGATGAGATGGACGAGTAGTTTGACGATACGCTCGTCAATGGGCCTGAGTTAGGACGAACTCTTTATTCAATAATTAATAGCTCGCAAAAGTGAGCACCAGATCATTGGCCCCTCTACTCCACAATTTTAAGTTTTCATATTTATAGACAATAATTATATCAGAGCTTAGCTGTCACTTAAAGTAATACTAATTGTATATTTACTTTCATTTTGCACATCACATTAATTTATAGCGGCAATTATAAAGTATTAACCATTTTTGGTCTAATCTTATAGGCGAAGCAATACATTTAGCCCGAGATTTTGGTTATGTGTGCGAAACGGAATTCCCTGCCCGACAGATCGCTGAGTACTTGTGTCGAAACCATTCCGACCCCTCAGACATGTATCGCCGAAAAGAACTAGTTTTGGCCACAAAGTAAGTGTCCATTAGTTGACTCCTAAACAACTTGTTTATTATATAACTTATGAGACTTATAATGCCATTATTGGGGTCTTAATGTCTTGTTTTTGAGATGATTTTTTCCCAATTGACGTCACATTTATTTTTGCTAAACATGTGATAACTTGTTTAACATTATATTCGTTATAATTCAGTTCATTCAATACCTTTATATTTATGTCTTTATTTTTATCTGATGTCAGTTTCACTAAAAGTTATTTTCAGGAGTTTTTTCTTTTTTGATTCACTATTTGTACGATTCCTGAGCTGTCATTGAATCCAACCAACGATGCATTCCTAGCTTTCCATGAGTTCATTGTTTTTATTGTTTTTATACTTAAATCTGATTTATGTCTAAATCTTATTTATTTGAAGACATAATTAATTGGAGATTTATTCCTAATTTTAGACAATTTTAATAAGTATTTACTTTGAAATATGAATTAATAATAAACTTGGATTTACTAATTGTTTCTAAGTTTCTAAACATAATTAGAATTTGTCTGTACTTTTGATTTATGAACTCTTTTTTAGTTTTATAAATAGTTTTATTATTTTTAGAAATTAATATCAAATTTATTTATATGTAATTAATCTCTCTTTATAAGTGATTAATATGAGAGAATTTGATTGTTTTATTTGTTATGAAATGAATGAGAAGTAAATATTGAAAAAATTATATATTATTTTAAATATTTATGCAATGAATGGGAATGCAAAGAGTTGGTTGGAAATAATTTGATGGTTAAGGCAAAGGTATTATCGATTATACCTCTAACTGAATTGCAATCAATTATTTTGGTTGCAGTCAAATGGGAGGAGTAATGGAATTATAAGTCTTGAAAGTTATCTAAAAAGATGACAAATAAGGCAATTGTGATGTAATGTAATGTTTGATGTTTAGGCAAATGCTGAAGGAGTTCATAGATTTGCTGAATCAGGACCGGTCGCCGCTGTGCAACACTCGGCCTCAAATGATTTTAGAGCCCAATATTCAGCGAAATTTGACACATTTCTCACTCATTACACACGGATTCGGAAGTCCAGCGATTGTGGCGGCGCTCACATCAGTGCAGAACTTCATGACTGAATCGCTCAAATACCTCGAAAAGCAATTAAGTACTTATCAAACGGCTACTGGTGCTCACGTCCCCAATGCAAACCCCGCTCAGGTCGACACCAAAAAGGAGATCGATTTAGTCAATAAGAAGTAGACGACAGCTCCTCTTGCACACCATCACCGCATACACACATACTCTACCCGTGCCACCAATACATGCATCTATGATACACATCCATACATTAGGCAATATTACACATACACTACATCCATATATTAAATAAATTTTATGTTTTTTTCGCTGTTGACAACAAATTGTTTGCTTTTTGTCAACTCATTTGTCAAATACTTTTCGATATTATCACTCGTTTGGCCAAAACTTACATTTAATCGAAAGTTAAACCAAAGCTTCACTTTTAGCCATAAAACGATTTCTCGATTAGTTATTATATTATTATTATATTATTATTAATATTATTAATGATGTTTTAAACGAATGCATAAATAACTGATTATTTAAATGAAAGCTGCCGTTCCAGTAGTGGCCAAATATGACACATTCGCTGCAATTTTTGTATTTTATTTTCAATTTTATTCAAATCTATGAAAAATAACTCAGTTTATTGATTATAATTATTATTGATGTTTTCATTCATGCGATTAATTATATATTGAGTTATTTGATTTTTATTTTGTGCTCTTTTTGTGCGTAAAAGCCGTTTAAATGTACAGAAATTTATAATAATAATTATGATTACCTTTTATTGATATATTCGGTGCTTCGGATTTTGGTGACATATTTTATTCATTGAATTGAATGAGTTTTAACAATAATTAAAGAATATCTTGAGATTTATTGATTGAATGTCAAAACAGAAAGTTTTTGTAAACTAGAAATGGACTCAAAACCGAGAGATTGTGAAACACAAGCGAGCATTGAATATGAAAATTGATTACACGTTACATAAAATAAGAATAATATGTAAGAATCGAAACCAAATTCACAACACTATTGATTTAAAAGGAGTGCTCAGAGTATCAGTAAAATAGTTTAAGTGTTCAAAATGTATTATAAAAGTAAATCCTTATTAACAATTTTCTCATCAAATCATTGAATCTATAAAACTCACAGTTTATCTCATTTTTTGTATAAATTTAATGTTCAAACAAATGGCAATATTTGTGACTGTTTTTGATGTTTTTAAATAAAAATTAAGCAAACAATACATTTATGAGTCGAACAAACTGTGGGCACAATAAACAACTTAAACCCCAAAATAATTTCAAACATAAATAATTCACAGTTTTTGAATATAATTTGAATTTTATTGAATCAAAAAATTAGCAAAAGTTTTGTTTGAAACTAAACGGGAATCTTATAATTTGTCTTTTGAAAAAACAAACTAAATATTAACGAATAGATAATGATTATAACTTATATATTATTTTTCGTTGTTTTGTAATTTGTTTTGTGTGAACCCTTTAGGAAAACATTTGATTGAAATCAATAAAATATTAATCAATTCAATACATAATAATTGTCTTTTGATTTCATAATTTATTTTTTGGAGATTAAATAAATTTATAAAAGCATTTGAAATATTGAATCTTAAATTATACGGTATTATGAAAAGAGGTCGCAATCATTACTGAGAAATAAATTTACATTAAATTGAGATCAGTTTTACGATTAACTCTCTGATGTCAATACCAATTGATGTCTGCCATAAATACACCATAAATTGAATATTAATTGATTTAGAGGTCGCAATCATTACTGAGAAATAAATTTACATTAAATTGAGATCAGTTTTACGATTAACTCTCTGATGTCAATACCAATTGATGTCTGCCATAAATACACCATAAATTGAATATTAATTGATTTTAAATATGTGACTAAAATATTTGAAGGGTTCAATCGCTTAACGATTATCCGATTATCCGGGATTTACAAATTGCCAATCCATCATTAATTACTGGTAAGTAATGGCTAAATCACTATTGAGTGACCCTTCCCTTCACTGATACCTTATAAAAGAGATAAACGAGAGTCCGGTTTGACCATTGGATCCACCAGATTGGGCAGAAATTTGAAATTAAGACCTTGTTTCTAATTATATTTTTATAATAAGTAGTAAAATTCTATAAAAATCTATATTGCTCAATTGCTCACTAGTCAGTAATGAAGTTCTTGTATATCGGGAGTACACAAACTATAAATTAAGCAAGCATTATTATAGGACTATTCTAAACGTAGAATTAACTTGGTGATATAATCTTATTAGTCTACCGGTATATAACTTTATAATTTTTTTGATGTAAAGTTAATAAAAGCTAGAAATGAGTAGATATTAATGGATTGGTGCATAACTTTATTAACGAAGTTTTGCTTCAGCACACAAGTGACCAGGATCATTATGACCATTATGATCATTATGATCATTAGGATGAGTACGGAATCAATGAATTGAATGTCAAATGAATTGCATCTATGGCTCACTCTATCGTCGTTTCACTCAAACAACACTTCATTTGATTTCAAAACGTTTTGGACATTGAGTTGACTCCTGAAGACATCACTGCCATCGCTGACAATATGAGTGATCTCTTGAAACTGGATTTGTATGAACTCCTGGCCGTCAACTATGACTCCACTCAACAGGAGGTAAGTGACGATCAGTCCATTGATATGAATTGAGTGCTAATGTGGTTCACATGTGGTGACAGATCAAGAGCTCCTACAGACGTCTGGCCCTCGGATGCCATCCCGACAAGTGTCCGGACAATCCTAAAGCCGCAGAACTCTTCCACCAATTGTCGAAAGCGTTGGAAGTGTTGACCGACGAGACGGCGAAGGTATGAAACCATTTATTGACAATATTTGATGCATTGATGTGACCATCGATTGGTTCTTCAGAGCGCATACGACAGGCTATTGAAGGCCCGAAAGGCGAACGTTATTAGACATAAGAAATTGGACCAAAAGAGACAGAAACTGAAGGATGAGTTGGAGAGGAGAGAGAAGTCGGCGAAGGAGGACGTGATGTCCGAAGCGGAAGCCGTCGACCAATTGAGTCGTGAGATCGAAAGGCTTCGGAAGGAAGGGTCCAAACAATTAGAGACCGAAAACGAGATCTTAAAGCAACAAATCGAAGAGGAATTGAGAGAACGGATTGAATCGGAATTAATTGGGACTCAAGTCTTACCGAAACTCAAAATAATCAGAAAATCCAAAGGTTTTCAAATGAGTTCAGAGAATATAAGACACCATTTGAGTAGATTTGGAGACATTAATGGTTTGGTTGTGACGAAGAACCAGAAGAAAGCTTTGGTTGAGTTCAGCGATTATAACGAGACGTTAAACGCATACGAAAATCGCCACGAATTCGAGCACTTGTTTACCACTGAATGGATTGGAGACAAACCAGACGTCTCATCAAAGTCACCACAAATGGAGACAATGAATACAAACCAATTCAAAGACATTAATATTAAACAAAATGAAAGCTTTAGTTCTGATTACGAAAGCCTTGTCTTAAGGAATATGAGGGCAGCGGAGGAACGAAAGCAATTGATTCGACAAATGCAAGAACAAGACCTCCAAGAAGTAGACTAAGACGTGATGTCCGAAGCGGAAGCCGTCGACCAATTGAGTCGTGAGATCGAAAGGCTTCGGAAGGAAGGGTCCAAACAATTAGAGACCGAAAACGAGATCTTAAAGCAACAAATCGAAGAGGAATTGAAAGAACGGATTGAATCGGAATTAATTGGGACTCAAGTCTTACCGAAACTCAAAATAATCAGAAAATCCAAAGCTTTTCAAATGAGTTCAGAGAATATAAGACACCATTTGAGTAGATTTGGAGACATTAATGGTTTGGTTGTGACGAAGAACCAGAAGAAGGCTTTGGTTGAGTTCAGCGATTATAACGAGACGTTAAATGCATACGAAAATCGCCACGAATTCGAGCACTTGTTTACCATTGAATGGATTGGAGACAAACCAGATGTCTCATCAAAGTCACCACAAATGGAGACAATGAATACAAACCAATTCAAAGACATTCATATTAAACAAAATGAAAGCTTTAGTTCTGATTACGAAAGCCTTGTCTTAAGGAATATGAGGGCAGCGGAGGAACGAAAGCAATTGATTCGACAAATGCAAGAACAAGACCTCCAAGAAGTAGACTAATAATTGTATGCATTTGTTGTCATTTGTATCATATTATGTAATATATGTAATATACTGTGTGTTTGTTACCATTCTTAATAAATAACTTATTTTAATAATTTTATAAAACCAACTTTGATTTTATTTATTTAGAGAGAGAGAGAGAGAGAGAGCGAGAGAGAGAGCAATGTTTTGCTATATTTATTGAATTAAAGGCAAAGAATTTAGAATTAAGTTAAAGAATAGGGTTTTTGGAGAAACAGTTGAATACAAACACAACTTTTTATACTTTATTTTGATTGAAATTTAATTGTATTTAATATTTGATTGATTTTATAGAATCTTTTTAAGTTATAAAATAAAATTTGATATCAAATATATGGAGGAATGGCTGAAAAGGCTTTACATGATTACACAACAGCTCCTTTTTTTCTTAATGTCAGTCTGTATTTCCTTTTCAGCCGTTTATTCATAACCATTCATAACCATAGAAATGAATTCAATAATTGGTTTATAAAGTATTTAAAGAGTTTATACCAAAGGCGTCGTCTGCACAGACATGTCAGACATTTGAGGTTTCGGTAGTTCAGCCAAAACGACCACTGGTTCCACAATAACATTGTTCATGACATCCATGGCTTGTAAGGATGGCGTGGATTGCACGGGAGATACAGTGGGACTGGTATGATGTGTCCCATACGTTGGACCAGATATGAGCCATTGGTGTCCAGCGATCAATGACTTGCTTGCGATGAGTTTACCTCCGCTTTCATTCTTCAATTATTTCAGAGGCTAGTCACTAAGTCCGTCTCTAAGACACGGGTCTTATGTCTATAAACATAACACCACAATAATAGAATTATACTTTAGCCAAAATTTACTGTTCAGGAAACTAATATACTAAAGAATTGTATTATTATAATATTTGTATATCCGTTTGAATGTCTCGTTCACTGAATTCAATTCAAATTGTTTCAATACTTTTGGAAACTATGGATATTTATTAATTGTTTTGTAAATATTTATTTATCTATTAAATTAGGAATAATTTTTTTTTCAAAACATTTATTTATAAATCATTTCTGTGAATATTAATTACAAGTAAATTATAATCAGACTTTTATTAATTTACTTATTTGACAACTGACTAGTTTTGTGTTATTAAATTTTATTAGAAACTGAATACAAGGGTTTATAATTATACGATATGTTATGAACAGAAAATCTAAAAATACGAAAAATTATGGAAACAAATGAATGAAATAATGAAAGTAACAAAATACTAGACAAACAATAAGTAATTAAATTAATTGGAAATTAATGTTAAATTTGATGAAAGAGTTGTTCTCTAAAGATCTTCAAGCCATGAGAGATCACCGGTTTTGGTGGGCGTGGGTCTGCCCAACAGGATGTTCTCCACTCTCACGTTCTGTTTGCCATACGTCTTGAGTTCTAAAGTCTTCATCTTCTTCTTGAGCGGTTCCCTCTCGTCCATCTTCTTCGTGTCCTTTACGACACCTCCGACGGGGTCTCTCTCGACGTCGCAGAGGTCGCAATGATTACTGAGAAATAAATTTACATTAAATTGAGATCAGTTTTACGATTAACTCTCTGATGTCAATACCAATTGATGTCTGCCATAAATACACCATAAATTGAATATTAATTGATTTGAAATATGTGACTAAAATATTTGAAGGGTTCAATCGCTTAACAATTATCCGATTATCCGGGATTTACAAATTGCCAATCCATCATTAATTACTGGTAAGTAATGGCTAAATCACAATTCAGTGACCCTTCCCTTCACAGATACCTTATAAAAGAGATAAACGAGAGTCAGGTTTGACCATTGGATCCACTAGATTGGGCAGAAATTTCAAATTAAGACCTTGTTTCTAATTATATTTTTATAATAAGTAGTAAAATTCTATAAAAATCTATATTGCTCAATTGCTCACTAGTCAGTAATGAAGTTCTTGTATATCGGGAGTTAATGATTAAAACTTTAGAATTACTATATTTTAATAAACACAAACTATAAATTAAGCAAGCATTATTATAGGACTATTCTAAACGTAGAATTAACTTGGTGATATAATCTTATTAGTCTACCGGTATATAACTTTATAATTTTTTGATGTAAAGTTAATAAAAGCTAGAAATGAGTAGATATTAATGGATTCGTGCATAACTTTATTAACGAAGTTTTGCTTCAGCACACAAGTGACCAGGATCATTATGATCATTATGACCAGGATCATTATGATCATTATGACCAGGATCATTATGATCATTATGACCAGGATCATTATGATCATTATGGTCATTAGGATGAGTACGGAATCAATGAATGAATGTATGAAAGAATTGAATGTCAAATGAATTGCATCTATGGCTCACTCTATCGTCGTTTCACTCAAACAACACTTCATTTGATTTCAAAACGTTTTGGACATTGAGTTGACTCCTGAAGACATCACTGCCATCGCTG